AGTCTTTTTTTAATTGTTGATTCAAAAATTTCTTGTTTCTCCTGTTTCTCTTCATTTGATAAAACATTTGAAATTTGTGTCCATTCCTCAAAAGCATTTAGACGTACTCTATGTGAAGGAGAGGATTGTTGAAATCAGTCGAAAATATCGAAAAAAAAGTCAATCAAAAGAACAAGACTGAGTCATACAAAGAAGAAAAGATAATATCACGGAAATCAATTTTCAAAAATTTAAAGCTGTTGCATTCTGGAACATTTTGCATTGTTTTTTTCTTATTGTTAGCAAAACATGGTTTGAAGCAACAAATCACCATCAATATTATCAAAATTGTGAAAATTGTGTAAAATAATGAATGATCTGCACGAATACTTGCTAACTTCGAAAGGAGCAGTATTCATAGCCATTCTTATTTAAGAACTTAAGATTTTAAAATTACATTTTAACCAATAATATGAATATCAGCTTAAAATGTCAATCACTAAACCTAAAATGAATCGATCACAAACTCGTATTAACACCTTAAAAGATTACTTAAGATAGTCTCGAAATAAGAATGGACTATGAATAAGTCTAATTTATTTAAACGAAGAACAGACAGTATCAATGTTCGCTACAAGATGTGAAAAAGAGGTTAGGAGCATGTCAAAAGGTGCGCGCATGTCATAACATAAATCGAAGGAAAAGAACAAGGAAGATGAGAGAGAAAGATGAGAGTCTCGATTTTGGATACGCGAGAAATGCAGAAACGTAACTTAATGCACTATTCTTACTATAATGCACAACTTCTTGTTTCGAAATCAAAATATGTATCATATTGCTCAGTGTGCAAGTAAAAATGAGTTGAAGACGGGGGAAAAATTGTCCGAACGATGCGTGTATGAAATTTACACAATTGTAACTATTTAAGCGATCGGCTGCATTATATATGTGCATGCGTTTGTGCGTAACATGCGTTAACCTAATAGATATATGTAAAATTGAAAATAAATAACATCATATTTGCACTCTTCTGCAACTAAAATGAAAAACTATTTCATCATAGTTTAATCGTACGGAAACTGTGCTCGGTTTTACACGTGCAATCGGCTTGAAAATCTGGTTTTGATTTCTTATCAATTTATGAAAAAAAAAGAGAACAGAAAGATAGATGTACAGGGAGAAGGGAAAGCGAGAGAGCGAAAGCGAGAGCGAGAGCGAGAGAGAGAGAGAGAGACGCAAAGAAAACCAACATTGCGACGCACTATCAAAAATTGCAAATACCGACATATGAGAACGATAGAAAAAATATATCTCTGTATTGTATTATAATGTTGTGTATGTGTATATGGATACGCGAGCGCCGCATGTGAATGCGTGTCATATAAAGAGCGAAGAGGAAGGGAGAGGCTCACGACCAAAGGTGTAAGAGAGCAAAGCATGTGGGAGACGAAAGGGGGCTATCTTCTCGACCGACATGTAGCCGGCCATCTTGAATCCTGGATGCCGTTGAAAAATACCGATTCTTTTCACGCAGCGCTTGACAGACCGGCCGCATAGATACGAATAATTGTGCATGCAAGCAGATGTAGATGCATTTACTGCATCCCGCATTCTTACGATTAAAATACGTTATCTCTGGATTTCTCGCGATGAAAAAATAAAATGAAGCGCGGAGAATTTATCATTCATCAAACTTGAAGACGAGCATTTACTCGTTCTCCCTTGAGAAATACGCACGAATGCCACGCACAAAAAGTACCAAATACTGAATACAACGAGATCATGGAGGAGAAAAATGTTGGTTAATAGTGCAACTCGTTTTCACTCCGTTCGATGTGATGCTACCAAGGCATAACGGCTGAACAATCACAAGAACGAGAAGAAAAAAAAGGAAAAGGAATATATGAACGTTCGGTTGTAACGCTTCGTCCAGTTCTTACTTTGCGGCTGATCGTCCAAGCTCTCCCGGTCGGACATTACGCTTCTTATGACACGTTCTTCTTTTGGTTAGATTTCCACACGTTGTCTCTTAATTCTTCTAAGCGATGAGCTTCTGTGGCCGAAAAGTGTAAAGGGAGATGAAATATATACGGAGCAAAAAAAAATAGAAAATTCCTCAATACACTAGTCCGCGAAGCACGCGCGCGAGACCCCTTAGAAACGACGGCAATGACGATAATCTCACTTTTCAGATCGCCAATCAGTTAAATCTTCACACAAAAACCGAACTCTTTTCTCATACCGCAGCCAACACAGCGCACCGTAAATTTTGCACTTTCTCGTTTTTTTTTTCTTCGTTTTTCCACACAATCACGGTCCGACCGCCAACCAACCAACCAACCGACCGATCGACCAACCAACCTACCGACCGACCGACCGACCGACCGACCGACCGAACGAACGAACGACCGACCGACCGTCCGTCCGTCCGTCCGTCTACGGCACCAGTCGCCACCACCACCACCACCACCGCACACGCTCGTCTAGCTCGCTCGTTCGCTCGTTCGCTCTACTCCGACACACACACCGCCACTCTTCCGCACATTCGCGCTTTCCGACTTGCCCTTGCTCGTTCGTTCGTCTTTCGCTCCTCCGCCTTCTCTTCAATCCCCTCTCTTTCCTCACACACGATCAGTGAAAGCAAGAAAAATATATGAGTGACAGAGAGAGAGAGAGAAAGCGAAAGAAAGATAGTATATATAGTAAGATCGCGCACGCGTCTATATACATATAGTGAGCCGTATACAGCTTTCACATATAAACGCACACATGTGCATACAACCAGTCCTATAAATTTGTCGAGTGCATACGCATGTATATTGGTCTGTTTTTTTTTTGTAACTGAATTTTAGTATACGCTCGTTCTACTTAAAATGATATAGATATATTTGAAGTTTGACAAAAGCGAAATAGAAAGTTTAGTGCAGTTCAGTGTAGGAACAAAAAAACAAACCTTATAACTACGTTTACACGAGTAACGATGATCCGATTTATCAACAATCATGTTACTTATAACTACTAACATAATTGCCATATAAATGTATTGATTTACACTTGTTTGATTACCAATTGCAATAAACCATTTATACATTTTATTTTAATAGTTATAACTGTAGATCTTATTAAACCGGATTATCGACTATGTTTATAACCATAGTTATAATTACTGACATAAAATGTTGTGTAAATAGCAGTTACACTAATTTTATTATATCAGTGTAGCAATACCAGTATAAACTACCGTTTACATGACATTTTACGCTAACGGTTATAATTATTGTTATTAAATCGGATTTCCGTATAAAAGTAAACATCATTGCACAACATAAACGTTATCAATGATTCCTATCATTGAAGACAAATATATATAATACATCATTTTCTTTTTCTGTATAGTATTTGTTTTTTTGGAGCGGGGGGGGGGGAGAGTTTATTACAATGATTTTTTCAAAGTATTTGACCTACGGACTTCTTATGTACTGAGTACAGTATTATCAATAAGATCACTCCTCGTATCGGTATCTTTGATCTTTGCATCTTAGATCACTTGATTATTCCCTTATGTTAATAAGTGAAAGCAGAAATGAATATAAGAACAATAAATGCCTTGCTTAAGTTGTATTTGTGACTTTGTAACTCATTTCTATATTGCTACTATGGCCAATATTCATAGTCAAATCTTAAGCGGCGTCTATAAGTGTCGGTCCACAATAAGTATTTAATCTTTAAGCCGTAAGAAATTGACTAATCATAGTCGAGTATTCTTTTCATATTCGATTATAATTGATCAATTTCTTACTTTTTAAAACTTAAATCACTTATTGTGGACCGACACTAATGAGACTTTAAGATGTAAGATTTAAGAAATTGGCCAATCATAATCGATTTATAGAAGAATAACTGATTGCGATTAGCCAATTTCTTAAGTCTTATGTCTTGAAGTCTCATTGCAGACGCCGCTTTATATTTAAAGGTTATGACACACAAGAAAACTTAAACAGTAAGCGAATTAGCCAATCACAGTCCAGAACGTAAGGCAGTAACATAAGCAGTAGCAAATCTACAACGTTGATTTCCTTACTGCTTAAGTTTTGCTACTTAAGTTTTTTTTGTGTGCCCGACCCTAAATGTCGATCCACATCTATTGTGGACCGACACTTAGAAGGTTATCAACCAATCATATGCCGGTATTCACAGTTCATTCTTATATTTAAGATCGTTTTAGGTAAGTTCGTACAACTATTCTATTAGTTGAAATGTTATCTTAAAACGATCTTACATATAAGAATTGACTATAAATACTGGCCAATAGAACCGTATTAGCATCTTAATCATTATTTAAGATAAGACTTGATTATACTGGCTTATGTACATACGTTCTTGTTATGTTTAGTATGTTTAATATTGGGAACGCCTAACAATATGGCCTCGACCTGCGCAAATTCGCATTCTATTGCTCAATGTTATTATTTGTTATTGCTATGCTGATACGAAATAATCACTCTAATGAACCATTAGAGTAGGTTCAATAACTCAGTTCAATAACATCGGATGTATTATTTTATTCTTATTATTTGTCGAGTAATAAACATGGACAAAATAATATTTTTACCCGGGTATTATTTTTGAACATATCTTTGTGGTCAAAAACTAGATTTAGGCTGGTATTCATAGTCTGTTCTTATATTTAAGATCGTCTTAAGTAAGTTTGTACAATTACTATATTGATTGAAATGTAATCTTAAGACGTAATCTTAAATAGGAATGTAATCTTAAATAGATTTTCTACAATAAAATAGATTTTCTACAATAAACTATTAGTAATAAATCATAAGTCAGAAAATAAAATTAACAGAAAATAAAATCACAGATAGAATAAGAATACTCGACTATGATTGGTCAATTCTTATTTTCTGACTTAAGCCAGCGGTACACGATGCTTTTTTTCTTGCTGATTTGCTAGCTGGATTTGCGTGCTCGTTGAGCTCTTGTCTCTGATTGGTATATTCTTTTGGATTTAAAAAACCTAACGCTAGCGCTAGCAAACCAGCAAGAAAAAAAAGCATCGTGTGCCGCTGGCTTTATAATCTGTTATGGCTTATTGTAGAATGGCACAAATATAAGAACTGACTATGAATATCGGTCTTAAAATTTTTGCATGTAACAAATTTATAGTCATAACTATAAATCCGTAAGAAAATTGAGCAATTAAGACTTATCCAGAAAAATTTGTATAACTGCGTAAAAAAAATTATCCAATCATACATTGTGTATTTTTATATTTTTTATATTTTATATTTTTTACAATAGAAATGCGATTGAATAATTTTTTTTGTTTTACGCATTGGATAATAGTACTTGATACAGTAGTTTTAACTGATTTTTACTAAAGATAAATAATGTATATATAAATGTGAACAGCATACTGCAACGAATATTGCATATATATATATATATATATATATATATATATATATATATATATATATATATATATATATA